AAATGTGTTATTCATATATAAAACATTTATATAATTTAGATTATGTATTTATATATATATATATATATATACAGAATTTAAGCGCAAATAATTCTTAAATATATACATGCATGCATAGGTATTTATATATACAAAATAATTATATACAGCACACACAAATATATTATGTAAACACAGACTTTTATTTTGGATGCAATTAATCCAATTCATTTTTGCACAGCCCTAATATATATATATATATATATTTTTTTTTTTTTTTTTGTTTTTTTTGATTTTATGGTTATGGTCGTGGTCAGCACTGGTAACTCTGGTATCTCTGCAGGCTAAAGAACCGAAGGCCGTTATGAAAGTGGACACACTCAACGCCTGCTTCCAGCCCGACAAGATCGGAAACCCCAACGGCCTGCAGATCACCTACATCAAGGACAACATCACACGAAACATCTTCGTCTACCACGACAGCAGCAGAGTGAGAGACAACACACACACACACACACACACTCACTCATATCTGAGACTCTGAGGCGTGTGTGTGTCTCTCCATCAGGAGATCGTGGACTGGTTTAACGCTCTCCGAGCCGCTCAGCTGCATTATCTGAAGGTTGCGTTCCCTGGAGCCACGGATGCCGAGGTCAGTCCCCAAACACCTTTATAATCTCCATTTCAGTGCAGCGTAACTCACAGCTCTCTCTGCCCAGCTGAAGCCCAAACTCACACGCAACTTCCTGAAAGAGGGATACATGGAGAAAACGGGCCCGCGGGTGAGACGTGCTGCCACACACACACACACACACACACACACGTGATATAATGTGTTTAGCAAACGCACGAGTGATGACAGGAGGAGCACAAGAGCTGATTGTGATTGTCCGCAGCAAACAGAAGGCTTTAAGAAGCGCTGGTTCACCCTCGACCACCGACGCCTCATGTACTTCAAAGATCCTCTGGTAAGAATCCAGCTCACATTAATCTGTACTGCGCTTTTCACAACACACACCGTTTCAGAGCCGCTTTAGAGTCCACATTACAGTCCAGAGTGACTTCTGGATCTCAGAAATCAAATCACACTGTTTGCTAAAAGTGTATTAATGTACTGAGTGAGTAGACGCTTTCATCAGACGCGTTGCCATGGTGATGAGCTGGCCCAACGTTAACTTCCGCTCCGTTTATTAGTGTTTACTGGATAATGTGGCATTGACTACAAATGCAGTGAAAGTTAAGGTGATGAGCAGGTTGTTGAGCTGGGAGCAAACGCAATTTTTTACAATAAAAATGTTAAGGTTATTATATTATTACAGTATTAAAATATTGTATGTTTATCTGAGTGATATCTGGTACAGTGTTTCCCATACATTTATTAGTGGCAGCCCACCATATTATCAGCGCTGACCGCCACATTAATTTCCGTGACTTATACAGTATTGCCAAAGCATTGGCCATTACATAGGCAATGAACAAATAATCGGTAAATTATTTGTCTCCAGTTTTTGTTCAACGGTTCTGGTAGTGTCACAATTCAGTTTGGCCAAGTAACATTGCTAAATTTACTTGTTATGGATTGTCTGCCGGAAGTTAAGTTTGGGCCAGATTAATGCACATGCACAGTACCGTTTGTTAATGCTGCTACTGCTGAAAGCGTCTATAGGAATAATACAAGTGCTTCTTTGTTTACTGTTTGGAATATTAGTTTTAGTATTGCATTTATCACACCAGTGAACGAGTGAAGCCCGGACCAATTACAACACTTTCCATCTTGCGTTCACATGCATTTACTGTCAAACCAAAGTTTATTCAGACTCCTTCAACATTTCTCACATCATCAGTTTATTCGCTATAGTTTAGAAAATGGTAATAAAATATTATCAGAACTCAGTGGATATTTGACTTGGTTCTTGTGTGTTCAGGACGCGTTTGCTAAGGGCGAGGTGTTTCTGGGACACCGGGATCAAGGGTACCGGGTCACGATCGGACTCCCTGCCGGAACGCACTATAACGGGACGTGGCAGTTCGGGGTCACTATACAAACGCCCGAGCGCAGCTTCCTGTTCACCTGCGAGTCTGATGTGGAGCAGAAGGAGTGGATGAGCCATTTCAATGCGATCCTGAACACTCCCATGAGCCCACAGGAGTATACAGGTAACACACACACACACACACACACACCCATGGCAGTACCAAACACGAGTGTCGTGTGTTTTGCAGTGGAGGCGTACTTCAAACACAAATACTGATGGACCGCTCGGCGCCTCTGACCTTTGACCTCTGCAGCGGATCTTCTGATATCTGTTTTTACGTTTGTGTTGTTTGTACATTGTACTATGATTCTGTCTGTGTATTAGATAGATCATAATACCTTTTTTAGCTGTATATTTGCGTGTTCATCCAGTTTGGTCCTAAAAGCTCCATCTAGTGGTGAGATTGAGTTATTAATTCAACATCTGAAACCTTTAGTTTTGTTATTTTACTGAAGTGAATTCAGCTCACTTTGATGTAAAAGCCAATTATCTGGTTCTGAACACACTTTTCTTCACATAATAAAGGAATAGATCAGAAAAAAAAATGATTGTTCTGTCATTGGTTTCTCTTTCCATGTCGTTACAAACCCTTTTTCTCTCTAGAAACATAAAAGAAGTTTAGCAGAATGTTCAACAGTTAGTAGCCACTACATCAATCCTCAAAAAACAACCAAAAGGCCTTATAAGTGTCCTTGCAAAAGTGTTCACCCCCTCCCCCCTTTTGTTTACGTTTTTTTTTTAACATTTTGTCAGCCTTATGATATAAATGATTTTTTTTTCAGTCTCAATACCCCATAATAACTAAGGAAAAGCCAAATTTGTGACAACTTTGAAACATAAGTATAAGTTTGCAGCATACTAAAATGTGAAAAAATGAAGGGGTGTGAATACTTTCGCAATGCACTCTGTAACTCCATGTTCCCTTTCAGTCGAGGACGCCAGACGTAGTTGACGTCGACTGAAATGGGATCACGCCAATCTTCTTCAAGTATCATTAGGACGAGCCAATGCACTGCGGCGCGGGTATAAATACGCAAGTAGATGTGCGCAGCAGTTGCCTTTCGCTTCGGAGCCGAGCTTCATGTTCAGGTCTTCTGAAGAGTGTTATACAACGAGCGAGTGTGTCGGTGCTTCTCCTGGAAGTCTAGTGTTATTCCGCCCGTTAGTGATGCGCGGGTCGACTTGTAACCCGCGGACCCCGCGGGTCGGGTTGGGGCGGGTAAAGAAATTGTCACTTCATTTGCGGGGCGGGTTGGGGCGGGTCATTAAGTTGTTTTATTTTTTATTTTTTATCCATGTATGTTGCTTGCGATTTCCAGCCTATATTAAATATTTGGGAATATCTATTTTCATATTTTATAAGGTTACAATACGATTTCCGTAGCAACGTAACTTACGTGAGGTTCCCAAACCTTTGGTGTCACGTGACACGTCAAGAAAGCGCTGCGACAGACGCGACAGCCTCGACAAGAACAACAACAACGGAGAAATAAAAGTGAAGATGGAAGACGAGGTGCGGGAGAAATTGAGGTTGGGAATATACATGATTAAAAGAAAAAAAAGGTCAGGCTGCTAAATCTAGTGTTTGGGAGCGGTTCTCAGAAGTAGTTGCAGCAGGAGACAACAGTAGTATCCGCTACCTGAAGTGCAACTCGTCTTCAAAAATATACAAACAGTAGCGCCACAAAACGGGCACTTCCAGCATGTCAAGACATATTTGTGGGGCGTCTAAGAAATAAAAAAAATGGTTTAGCTTATTAGATGAATACAAATGCTGCTTTGTAAAAGTTGAAAATGTTTATTAAAATGACCTGATTTATGGTTCATATTCATAATCGTCTGTTGTTGCCAGTTTATAGGGCGATGTTTCCAGGTTGTTTTCATTTACATTACAATGCCTAGTAGCTACTATGTCTATTTAACGGTCGCGGGTGCGGTGCGTAAAAATAGAGACAGTGGTGCGGTGCGGGCTGGGGCGGGCCAAATAATTTCATAAAAGCGGGACCCGCGGGTTGGAAAAAAAGCCGACCCGCGCATCACTACCGCCCGTGTGTTTCTGGGTGCGGTCGTTCCCTGTCTCTCTCTGACGGTCACAATTGTTGCGTCACGTGTTTGGGCTTACAGTACGCTGAAGCAGCCTTTGGGGACAGGTCATGTTCCTATTGTGGGAATATGACAGTCACAGTGTTGAGGTCGAGACTAGCGAGTTCCCATGACTACGCCCCGCCTTCGTGTGCTGCGTAGGGTTGGTGACGGGAGGATAGCGTTGGATGTCTCGGGCGGTAACCATTCCCTGTGGGCTTTCCTCCCTTCCACTGCAGCCGGTGGAGTCCCTCATGGAGCGTGCTGGTCCATCTGTAATGGTTGGGCCAGCCGTTTTATCTGGGGCTCGCGATTGCAGCATCGGAGGATGAGCTGGCCACTGGAGATGATGTGTTATCTCCCTCTGGGAGTGTAACGTTGACTGAGGCAGGTCCAGAATTGGGCCGCTGAGTCTCGAGTGAAATCCTCCAACATGTCCTGCCCAGTCTCGGTCGGATGATTGGTGTCTTGAGCCGGGCCGTGCTAGCCCCAGTACCCTTCTTTCCTGAAGTGCACGGAGAGCCTACCTGGTCATGGAAAATGGCTGCCAAAAATGGCCTGAGTGGTTCTCCCTCCCTCACCACCCTGATGGAGGAGCGGTGAAGGGTTATGAGGCTATTCCTCCAGTGGAGCAGTCCTGTGTCCAACGGCCGCTGCGTCTTGGACGGGGATCCTCGCCTCGCCTCGCGGGTCTGTGAGTTCACGTCAGAGCTTACAAAGCGTGCGGGCAAGCCGTCTCCTCTTTGCATGCCATGGTGTTGCTGCAGGTCTACCAGCCAAGACAGATGCAGGTCTCGACACGCCAATGTGCATTGGCTCATTCCAATGATACTTGGAAGAAGATTGGCTCCTTAGTGTGATCCCGTTTCAGTCGACGTCGACTACGCAACCAGGACGTTTTCTGTCATATGATGCTTTGTGTAATGAACAGGCTGGTATTAAAGTATTCACTGTAAATCTTCCCCTCCGCTACAGTTCTGGTTCAAATGTCACATGACCGTTCATTCTGGTATTTGAATGTGCATGGACACAAATGAGGTTTAAGAGCATTTTGAGGAGAAGATGTGTTTGGGAGGTGATCGCTCACATGAGCTAGAGGATATTCGTGCGCTGTGTGTGTTTGTAAGTTGGTGTGAATGGAAGATTATTGACTTCTGCTCATGATCGGGGTGTGTGAAACGGCACCAGGGTGTTCGGAGAATTTGAGTGGCTCGAATGCTGAACGTCAGATAACACATACCTGAGAGAGAGAGAGAGAGAGAGAGAGAGAGAGAATAGATGGACACGAGAGAATCCTGCAGACACAACCGAAACCAAAGTCTCAACACAACCACTGCTGGAGAACATCACATTTGTGATCTCACAGACGGCGCTTCGTTCTACGATGAGTTGGATCATGGGACTGCTTAGGACTTTTTGCCGAAGGAGTTGTAAGTCTGTCGCTCCTCGTTCATGTCGTACTTTGATGTTCGAAGAGGCTTTTTTCTGCCACACGTGTTACACAAGAGTGTTTTCCCAGCGATGCCATAGGATAACTATTTTGGGAACTGTTCAGTAAACCCTTCTGAAGAAAACCATCAATTTAATAACCATTTTTTTTTACTTTAAAGTTCCTTTTGTGCAATGGAAAGCAACAGTGTTCAGATGCCATTGAAGAACTTTTATTTTTAAGTGCAAACAACAGCTCAGTTTTGTAGGAAACTTTCAAACTCATTTTCCGAATAATGAGTAACAGCAGTGCTGTGGCGGCGGGAGGCGCGGGAGTAGTTTGGGTCACTCCGCTTCTGGGCGCCACCCTGATCACCATGTGTGTTCTGGGCGTGACGGGTAACCTGTACACCCTTGCCATCATGCGTTCGGCTACGCTTCGGCGCGCCGGATCCTTATACGTCTTCATCCTCAATCTAGCGGCGGCTGATCTACTCTATCTGGGAACCATCCCATTCGTCGTCTGCACGTATTTCGCCCACGATTGGTTCTTCGGGGAAATGGGCTGCCGGTTGCTATTGAGTCTGGATCTGCTCACCATGCACGCGAGTGTGTTTGTGTTGGCAGCGATGAGTTTGGAGCGCTACCGTGCCGTCGCCACACCTTTCCGCGCACGGCGCTCGACCACCCGTGGACACTGGCTAATGGTGTTGGGAATCTGGGCAGTCGCGTTTGTGCTAACGCTCCCGATGATGGTGATGATCCGACTCCGAGAGGGACGTCCTCCAACAGTGGGGCTTGTTAAACGCATTTGCTTCCCGACATGGACGCCTGAGGCGTTTAAGGCGTATCTCACCGCGCTCTTCGTCACTAGCATGCTCCTGCCCGGCCTGCTGATGGTCGGACTCTACGCAGGTCTCGCCCGCCGGTACTGGGCCGCTCAAGCCAACCTGACCCGCGGATCCTCGACATCCATCCGCCGGCGCAGACTGAAACACAAAGTGGTGGGAATGATCTTCTGCATTGTTTTGGCGTACTGGGCGTGTTTTCTGCCGTTCTGGGGCTGGCAGATGGCCAAGCTCTTCTCGTCCGAGTCGCTCCGTTCGCTGTCGCCCGCCGCTCACACCTACGTCAACTTCTTCGTCACCTGCCTTACGTACGGAAACAGCTGCGTCAACCCGCTGCTTTACACGCTACTGACACGCAACTACCGTGACTACCTGGCCCAGAGAGGTCAGTCCTCGGGGTCGAGTCGCGGGGACCAGGGTTCGGCCGCAGGGATCAACGCGCTCCAGGATCAGATAGGATGACTTCTGTTGTGAGAGTGTAACGTGAATTTAGAAATCAGTGGATATCAGCTGTTTTTGTTTGTTCTATTTTTACCCTTGATTACTAAAATGTTCAAAAGTAACAAAAATGTCTAATCTCTGCACGTAACAAAATTGCAAAACTAAACAAGTGGTGCTTACTGCAGAGCCAGATGACGTCCAGCTCACCCTCTCTGGACGCAATCGGTGGATCTAACCTAACCTGTATCCAGAGAGGGGGAGCTCGATGTTAAACTCCACCCATTACATCCAGAGAGGAGGAGTTTGACGTAAGCTTGATATCAAGCTCTAAGAGAGGAGGAGTTTGATGTCAAGCTCCACCCATTGCGTTCAGAGAGGGTAGGAGCTGGACATTAAGCTACAACCATTACATCCAGAGAGGAGGAGCTTGATGTCAAGCTCCACCCATTACATTCAGAGAGGAGAAGTTTGACATCAAGCTCCACCCATTGCGTTCAGGGAGGAGGAGCTTGATTACGTTCAGAGAGGAGGGGTTTGATATGAAGCTCCACCCATTACACTAAGAGAGGAGGAGTTTGATGTCAAGCTCCACCCATTACACTAAGAGAGGAGGAGTTTGATGTCAAGCTCCACCCATTGCGTTCAGAGAGGAGGAGCTCGATGTTAAGCTACAGCCATTACATCCAGAGAGGAGGAGCTTGACGTTAAGCTCCACCCATGACATTCAGAGAGGAGGAGTTTGACATCAAGCTCCACCCATTGCGTTCAGAGAGGAGGAGCTCGATGTTAAGCTCCAGCCATTGCATCCAGAGAGGAGGAGCTTGATTACGTTCAGAGAGGAGGGGTTTGACATCAAGCTCCACCCATTACACTAAGAGAGGAGGAGTTTGACATCAAGCTCCACCCATTGCGTTCAGAGAGGAGGAGTTTGACATCAAGCTCCACCCATTGCATCCAGAGAGGAGGAGCTTGATTACTTTCAGAGAGGAGGGGTTTGACATCAAGCTCCACCCATTGCGCTCAGAGAGGAGGGGTTTGACGTCAAGCTCCAGCCATTGGCTCTGCAGTGAACAGCCTCTCGAAATAATAGCTGTGTTCGACTTTAAGCGGCGCTGCACAGACCAATCGTTGTTTGATATGAAAGTACTGTGAGAGCGATTAGAAAGCAGACGCTCCGAACACACATATTGACTGTTTCCCAACAGGTTTCTCAAACACTTCCTTCGTCTGTCATTGGTCAGATCATGGGATTGGTTGAGTCAGGAGTTGACAGGCTACTCTAACAAACATATCAATGTTTCACTCCTCAAGAAGATGAACCTACCGATGGATTATGGTGACTTATATAGATATTTTTATTTGGGTCTTAATATTCATTCAGTTAATTTCAGTTCTCATTTATTTGTATAGCGCTTTTCACAATACGCAGCGTTTAAAAGCAGCTTTACAGAAAATGATTGAGTCCACATTACAGTTTACAGTGATCTGTTATCGGAGGACACTGAGTTATGTATTCCAGAAATGTATCACAGTTAGCTAAAAATGTATTCATTTTAACAATGTAATCATTTAAGGCAGAGACAATCAGCTCATTGAAGTAATGGATACTTGTTTGTTAACAAATGATTATGAAGTATTGAAAGATGTAGCATTAGTGCATGTTGTGACAGATGCACGGAAGCACTGCAGTGTTCGATTGGACACAACAGTGGAAGATATGGGATTCGAGAAGTGCTTCTCTTCCCTTTGATAAGCTGATAAGTCCCTGTTTGCTGTCCTCACTATACATGATAGTATGGTTAATGGTTAGATTTTTATTATTTGCATCTATCGTTGTTTTTAACGGCGGTTTTTAACAGTGTGTGACCCGTCGGATCAGGCCTGAGATCCATGTTTGCACCAGAGAAGTATAATTTAAATATGTATTGTAGCTGTAAGTTCTGAATATGAATTACACTGATGGACTGTCTTTATGGTGCTTGTTTTTATTTCTTTGTACCTGTGGGCTTTTAGGATTAATTTAGAATAATGAATGCAATACTGGCTCCTCACAAGTTAAATTAGTAAAAAGTTTAAGCTAAATAAAGTTCATTCACTTATGATCATTCAACTGGCAAGTGAACTCTTAAATGGTGGTGGTGGTGGTGTGTGTGTGTGTGTGTGTGTGTGTGGAATGTGTTTTCTGTCCGTCACATTCCTCAGCTCTTGCTTCAGACCTTTTCGAGTCTCTCTGTAAATTATCATGAGGATCCTGTTTCTCTGAACCGAACTCAATCAGTTTTTAATTTTCTTTATATATATAACCTATATATATATATATATACCCTGGTGAAAAAAAAAAGCTACTTGCAGCCAGACTAATTCGGTACATTTTTAATGTTTAGTTAACTTGAAGCATGGCATTTTGGAACAACTCATTTTGTACTAAGTATATTTTAGTTATTATTAAATTTAAGTGTAATTAGTGTACGTTTTTAAGCTAAATTGAAACAACTTCAGGTATGCCTGTGTAGGGACTAATTACTGTACATGCTTGATATTAAATTGTACTTATAACAAGTACACTAAAATTCATTATGAGTGTCTTCAAAACATATGGTATTATATTTGAGTAATAAAAGTATATGCACAGTAATACCTTTGGCTTATTCCAAATACTATAAATTGCACACTTTGTCTTCAATAACAAATGCTCTAAACAAATATTACTAGCTATACTTGTACAATATACTATTGCATACTATAATGCACTTTGAAAGTATACTTTCAATGCATTGTTACAATGATCATTTTCAGCACACTGTTAAAATATATTTAAGTGCAAATAAGAAAATAAACTTTCACTTCAAGTATATTATTCTAAAATATATACAGATATTTTTTTTTAGAAAATATACCATAAAAATATACTATATAGGCTACTAAGTATAATTATTTTGGTAACACTTTACAATGTTTATTAGTTAACATTAGTTAATGTATTAATTACCATGAACTAAACATGAGCAATGCTTGTGTTACAGTATTTATTAATCTTTATTAATGTTAGTTAATAATAATCCAGCTGTTCATTGTGTTTATGTTAGTTCACAGTGCATTAATGTTAACTACAACCTTTGATTTTAATAATGTATTAGTTAATGTTGAAATTAATATGAACAAAGATTAATAAATGCTGTAGAGGCATTGTTCATTCTTAGTTCATGTTCAAGTGTTACCATTAGTTTAAAGTGTGATAAAAGTTGTATTGTGAAAATAGGTAAAAGCATGATGCTAATATAAATTTTTAATATATTTAAAGACAGTACAATTTTTGTTAGTATATTTGCAATGTACTATTGAAAAGGGAATATATTTCGATTTTAATATATATATATATATATATATATATATATATAGTTTCATCACCATATGACACAAAAGAACACTCAGAGAAACAGCGAGTCCTTTCACATATCCTCAGTGGATTTATTTGACTCTTTCTTTGGTGCATTCCCTGGAGGAGCTGGAGAACACACACCGCAGCGTCAGGAGCGAGTCCTGCTCATTTGACCCCAATGCTGGTGATCTTGACGTCTCCGTTCACGTGCACGTGTTTGAAAAGGTCGTCGCCGAATCGGTTGGGGAAGCTCATCATGGTGCCTTCTGGGAGTTTGATGTAGAAGGTGTCGTTGTTGAAGGTGATGGTCAGCTGTTGGAGGTGAGATTAAAAACGCTTTTGAACGTCACCATCATATTAAAGTAGTCAATAATCTTATCCCTTAAAACTCATCTTTGATCACCAATTTTTTTCTTAAGGGTAAAACTTTAAATGTCTCAAAATATCTTGAATGCGCGGTTCTATGAATATGGGTTAAAGTGCATATGCTATTGTAAAACGTGTGATAACAGCATTATTCATCCTCAAACCGCTGAGCGGTGGGCGGTTTATTGCATATATAGTTAAAGGGTAACTCTTTATGACACATTGTGTCATGAGTTTCTGTAATCTGTGAACGGACTAAATCCAGGCACATAGATATGAAAACACTGCAGAACTGGTCAAAGAACACAAAGATAAAGGTCCAGGTTTGATCTACATCTATTTAGAGCATCTTTATGCTTCATCTCAGCCGGTATTGGTGTTTTTACACTGGCGTGTTGAACACTGAATGTTGTGCATCGCCAACGTGAAATTTGTAGTTTTTAGACCAACAGACTTTTTAACATCCCCCTGTGGCGTTTAATGTTGTTTATGTGTGTGTGTGGTGTGTTTAATCCGCTTTAACACACACACCATGTGATAAGTGGACAGCATTGCTGAGTATTTCCTCCTTAAAACTTCAGTGAACCAAAGACAGTCTCAAAAACACGCTTTGGTGTTTCTGACGTCACAAACCACCTTGTAACCAATCAGATCAACGTGTGATCCTCAACCAGTGGATCTCTGAGCGAGTGAGTGGGGGCGGGGCTCATTTGCATATTCATAGAACCGTGCATACTAAATGAGGCGAGGGTGTCGAGTTACATTCAAGATATTAAGACATTTCCTTGAAAAAAAAAATGTCATTTTGCTGATCAAATTTTTAAGGGATAAATGTTTGACTACAGGGGGACTAAATGACGGAACGATGACAGCAAAATGTCAAAAAAAAAAAAAAAAAAAAAAAAGGCCATAAAAACACTGTGATTGTTAAATGTTTTTGATTTTCTCAGGACAGCATCACTATTATCATGGTCTCCTCGCTGTAAAATATGTCCATACCGCCTTAAATGAAGTGTATTCAAACTGGCTCTAAAATCTTAGTTGAATCTTGTATACCTTTAAAACCTGATTAAATCATTTTGATGAGTTAAAGTACCGGGAAACTTTTGTCATGAGTGGTTAGAGAGGTGTCAGAGGTCAGAGGTCGCTCACCTTGAACGCTTCGCCCTGCTGAAAGGGGAAGCACGGCTCGCGCTGCTCGGCTCCCCATCCGCCCTGTCTGGAGTTGCACACGATGGTGTTGGTGTCGCCCCGCGCTTGGAAACGAGGGTTAAAGTGAAGGGCGATTGCTTCTTCGTTGTGACCGATGTTGATCGAGAACCTGAGGACAGAGACGCGTTTGAGGACACTCTTTTGAGGAGATTACAGACTGTAAAAACATATGTGCGCAGTGTGTGTGACGTCACCCATGTTTATGAAGAGCATTTTTGAAGCCCAAAGTGGGCGGAGCCAGCCGTTGCCATCTTGGCCAATAAACGTAAATGTTCAGCGAGGCGGATTAGCTGAGGTGACGTGATGCTAACGCCAGCAGACAAATGGCTAGAAGAGACATCAGCAGCAATCCACCTGTCACT